GGGGGGGGTCAAATTGACCCCCCCCCCCAGCAGGAATAGGGTTAATAAAATGGTTCTGTTTATACTGGACAATTTATACAATGTGTTTATACTATGTGTCATGCTCATTGGCGTATTTGAAGTAACGTATGGGCTTATAGTCGTCTTTAATAGTTTAATGGGTCTCCATTAGGGTTTTCAGCGAAAAGTATAAATCTTGTCACGAGTTTTCGCCGAAAATTTTGCATTTTTTTCGCATTTTGTTCGCTCGAGAAAAATGCGAAAATTTTTGTGTTTTTTTTTTTGCGAAATTTCGCTTTGATCTGTTTCGCGAAAAAAAGATCGAAACTTTCGAGGGGAAAAATGCGAAAATTTTGCGAAAAAAAAACGAAGGAGATATTATTAATTATTATGTAATAACAGTTCTAATGCTGAGCTCTGAGAGCAGAGAATTCCACAATTTGCTTCCGCAATTAACAAATGCAGCTACAACACTGAAAGTTTTCGCGACATTTTTTTTCTCGCTTATTTCGCTTAATTCATTATCGTGAAAAAGTTTGCGAAATACAAACGAAATTATTTTATTTTTGGTAAAAGTTTTCGCTTTCTGCAAAACCTAATCTCCCTGTATGTGTGGGCGAAATGCACGTGAAAAAGTCAAATAAAAGTTCCCAATTCGTAAATTATGTTTTAGAGGTAGGACTTATTAAAACTTACATTTTAGCATTTGGTATCTGGGGCTGGGTAAACTCCACTACAGCTCTATCCTGGGGTAGTTGGCGTACACTCAGCAGTAGGGGAGGACTTCCAGGTCGACCCTCAGCAAGTGTCAATATATCTACACAGATTTATAAAATATATATATCTAGGATAATATATATCTATGCTCTCATCTAATTTTGTAAACTGCTGTAAAGTAATGTAATATCTAGTCTGATTATTAAAAAACTCTAATTTAAAAAATTCAGCGTATAAAATTAGGAAAATTAAAAGTATTACTGGAAAAACGGCACTCTCTGAAAGTCTATTATATATGTGTGTATAATGTATAATGTATACAAATACACATCCAGAGTTTTCAAAACATTTATTTCTCACGATAGTTTTAGAGATCGTTAAAGGGTATTCTTTTCACACACGTATATTGTGTTAGCTAGAAATCCAAAACGGAAATCAGGTTTACAGAGGAAAGCATTAATGCATGTTTAGAAGAATCCAGGCCTAGAAGAAAATTTTGACATATGAAAATAAAACTTTATTAATCTTAGAGCATCTAATCTAATTTTATAATATATATTCATATATAAATATAATACAATAAAAAATATTCTATTATGGTTCCAACCTGCAGAGAAGGCTGAATCCTGTCCGGAGCTACTCAGTTTAAAGATGTACCCAGAGTAAGGTTTAAGATTAAGAACAAGAACTCTGACTAGCTCAGCTGATGAGGAGGGTAGAGGCTTCGTGTGAGCAGGACACCTGACAATATACAATATTAAAGGAATGCTTATTGCTCAACTTAGTTTTTAAAATGAACCTTCTTTTAAATATGTTGTAATACTCATTTTCAAACGTACGTTTAGAACGGTCATCAATGTACCATTATTGTGTAGAGCGACATCTTAATGGGGTGTAGAGTGTAGACATAATTCTAAGTAATCCTTCTACAGAGGGGCATGCCTGATTCACAACTGTACCCTTGAAACTGATATGATCAATGATGTGGGAGATATCCTCGTTTTGCTGGACAAATTTAAAGGGTATAAATGGAGGGTCACTTAAAATTACGTATGGAGTCTCTTTAACTCAACACTTTAATTTACCTTTTGTGATTGTGATTAAAAACCAGATTTTTGAGAGGAAAAATATTTCGTTAAAATTTATATTTACATTTTACTGGGTTTCTTATTTTGTATGAGTTTCAGCATTTTCTCATGAATAAATCATATTTTTATATAAACTTCTTAATCTTTATTTACATAATATTTTATCCCACAACATTCATATATATAAACATATATTCAACATAAATAGTTCATTTATTCGTCAAATTCGTTAGCTAAATGTTATATTATTCATTATTTTAATCAAACTTTTTTTTAATTTTATTTATTTTATTCCTTTTATAGGTTGCTTCATATTTCCTTATTAGTTTTCACGTATAATATATATGAATATTTATCTATATATCTATCTATCTATCTTTCTATCTATCTATCTATTTATCTATCTATCTATCTATCTATCTATTTTATCTATCTATCTATCAATGTTATCCCTTGTCAAATTTATCATGTGTTTCCCATCTGTCCCTGTATATAGCGGAGCCTGCTGCCGATAAAATTAAATTCAAAACATCTTTTAAATTTGCTTTTTAGACAGAGAAATGTTTATTTGTTTTTATACTTTTCATATTCCCATCGTTCTGGACATTGGCATACACACTAAAAATTCTTCTTTATTGATTTATGATTTGGTCAAAATCTAGAATCTAAAACTTTATTAACTTATTTGTGTTTGTGTATCCACTATCCATAACACCCTGTATCTTAATTTATCTCTACATTAATCCCTCTGATCTCACCCTGCCACAGATCACCTGACAATTTTCTTCCTTCCAATCACCTCTTTACCTATCCAATTATATTCAGTATTGTTAACTAACTTAGAGCCCACCACTTAAAACAACTTACCCTGGTTAGGCGGGTCCAAACTGCTGTTGTGTAATTTATTTAATGGTTCTCAATAATTTGTTAAATGTTGTTGGAACGCGGTTTGTAAATTGAGAACAGTCCCTTAAAGCGCATTTTGTAAATTTAGAGCAATCCCATAAATAGCTTGATTAAATTCGTGATTTGGTTCTGAATAATAATATTCTCAATATTTTTTATATATTCTGTTTGTTTATTTACTGTTTGTTTACAACTTTAAACCAGTTTGCACTAAATTCTGTGCAGTTCTCTTGGCCATCTGGTCTCACTACCAGGTTAGAAAGATTGAGCAAATTTTTCCACACAAAGTCAAATTGGTTAAAATTGTTATTATATTTTAATTAATAATTTGGAATTCTTTCATTTTTTAGTTGGATTTAGTTTGTGAAATCGGCGGATCTGAGGTAGAATTTTATATTAAAGGCTCTATTTACGGCTTTATTTACAAGTGAAATCTTTTTAAGACAGTGAAATAGTTATTAACCCATTGATGCCAAAAGCGTCATTTTTGATCCGTTCTAAAACTTTTAAATTTGGAAGATTTTCTTATTTCATTTAACTTTTTTCAATATTCTTATTAAACTAAATTCTTATTTGAGCAGTGCATCTTATTGGGTTATATTTTATCTTTTTGTTCTTGCACTTTATATACTTTTAATTTAGCAAGCGTGCATTGTGGTTTATATTGGTTCAGCAGTATCCTTAGGCAAACTTATTGCTCTCCTTAAGCAAACTTATTGCTCAAGACCCTGCTGGATCTACCCTAGCTCTGTTCAACCCCGATCAGCGAAACAAGTAAGGATAAACTTTTTATTCTCTGCCAAGTAATGCATTTAATGCAACTGATTGCTTTAATAGAAGCAAAATAGAGTTAAATTGCTCAGTTTGGACTAGTTCTTATTAACCGTTTTATTGGGCAAGATTATTGCTCCAATAAAGTAAAAGCAAACTTATTGCCATAAACTAAGTTTAATTGCTGATTTAGTGTGTAATTGGATAACACACAATTATTGCTATTTAATAGCAATTAAGTCCATGACTGATAGTTCATGGGATAATAGGGTGATTGTCATGAATTAGAATTCCCTAACATTTATCTAGACTGAATACAAATAGTCTACAGAGTCCTACAATAAGTGAAGTCTAATCTTAGGTTAGCCATCATTACTAATACACGAGTCTAACCCAGCGTTGGGTTAAGCATGTATTGCTTAACTGCCAACATTGCTAATATAGCAAAGTTATTGCTCAAATTTGCTATATACACTAACATTCTGTTTATTTAGTTTTTGAAACCGCTGTGCTGTTTTTGAAACCGCTGTGCTGTTATCAATCTGTGAACTGATCGGAACCCTTTCTAAGAAGATTGTATTTATTAATAAAGATTTACGTTACTTAACCTTGTCATTTATTTATTATCGGGATCAGATAGCAATTTTCTAAAATTGCGCAACAACTGCATAGTAAATTGTGATTGCTTATTTGTAAAATCTCATGCTTTGTAGTTGAATAAAAATATGAAAATATGAAATGAATTAATAAATTATTTTTATTTGTCTTCTGATTATACCACGAACTCGGGGCGATTCACACTTGTGCTGAAGAATATCGAAATTATCCGTTTTCCTTCAAAGGCCAAAGGAATTGAGTCTTTGCCACAAATTCAGATTTTCTGATCCCTATATCTTTGCAATCCGATGTTTTAGACCCTTTATATCTCAAACTGTTAATTATGTTGGACCAAATAATCTAAGTTTGAAATATAAAAGGTTTACACCATCAGGTTACAAAGATATAGAGATTAGAAAATTTGAGTTTGTGACAAAGACTCAATTCCTTTGATGAAAAACAAAAAAAATATTTGAACTACGGAGGCCAAATTAAATTAAAGTTCAAGTTTAAAAGAAGTGGTTCAATTTCTGATAAACTTCGTTCAATTTCTTCAGCGCCATTCCCGGAATTAAATGCTTGCCACAAACTCTAATCTTTTCCATATCTTTGAATCTGATGGTGTAAACCTTTGACATCTTAAATTTTGAGTATGTGATCCAGAAGAATTTATTATTTGAAATATTAAAGGTCTACGACGTCAGAAATGGCAAAATACAAGGGTTAATACCTCGAGAATAGAGTTTTAGGTGAGTAATAAGTCCTTTTTAATTTAATCCATCAAAGGCCGAATTTAGAATCGATGAACCGCCAAGAACACATTTCAAATGAGCGCTGGCTAAAATCTCGAAACACCAAATACAACTCTAATTCTTTAAATTTAACCTCATATCATGTTGACGATTATAAGTCTTTTTAACCAAAAGTTCTTTATTATCTTCCAGTCATCGATTGATCAAAAACTAATGGTAAATTGTACAACTAAAAAAAGATAAGTGTATGTAGTCTCGAACTCTAATTATCGTTTAAACATGCCAAATTAACATGCTTAATGAGACTTCTTGAATGAGAATAGATGGATATCAGCGTGAGTATTATTTCTACTTTATTTATCTCACGGTTTCTAGTTCTTAAAATATGTTTCTTAAATCTCTTAGTTTCATTGCAACTTGTATTATTTTAACGGAAAATCAGCATTATAAATAAATAATATAAATAATAAGGTTCCCATCCTCATTTTTAGAATTAGGTTCTTTCTTATCCTACTTTTAGAACAAATTGTTCACTCTTCTTTTAAAATAAGGTTCCATTCATACTTTTAAAATAAGTTTCCATTCCTACTTTTAAAATAAGGTTCCATCCCTACTTTTAAAATAAGTTTCCATTCCTACTTTTAAAATAAGGTTCCATTCCTACTTTTAAAATAAGGTTCCAGTCCTACTTTTAAAATAAGGTTCCATTCCTTCTTTTAGAAAAAGATTCCATTCCTACTTTTATGATAAAGGTTCTCTCCTGCTTTTAATACATGGTTCTTTTTGAGCGCATTCACCACCATTATATGTAAATATCTTTTTAATAATTAGATTATATCATACAATTATTTTTAAGCATAGAAAGGAAAATTCCTAGTGTTTTCTAAAGTTTCTTGTTAAAAAATGAGATTGAAAGGTTCCTTACCAAATGTCGTCACCGTTTAGTTTCCACTCTAGAGTATAATTCATTCCTCTTCCTCTCCATTCTAGCTCCACTGAGCTTGCTCCAATACTTCCTATATATATTAATAGTATATTTTAAATAACACTAGACTCACACTGATTTAACAGTTTGGTCCTTGCCCTTATAAAATAAAACAAGTTTGAATATGACAGTATTTGCATATTGTAAATAAATGTTTTAAAATCTTCATTCATTCAGCTCTATACTTCCTAAATACTTAAATTTAAATCAACAAATCAAACTGTCCATGATTCATGAATGTATATTAACATTCATACAAAAATTTGTAATACTTATATACTTATATATACAGTATATTTTTATTAAAATCTGCAAAGGAATTGAGTCTTTGCAACAAACTCTGATTTTCTAGTACTTGTGTTGTCCCAACCAAATGTCGTAGACCTTAGATATTTCAAACTATGAATTATGTTAGCTTAACTGATCTAAGTTTGAAATATCAAATGTGTACAACATCAGGTCGCTAAGATATTGGAATTCGAAATTTAAGTTTGTGGCAAAAACTCGATTCCCTTGTGTTGAAGTGAACGAAAAAGTAAATATTTAAAATAACCGAAAATAAGTTAAATTATTCTGCGTAACAAACCATGGGTGGTTCTTGTCTTAGTAGAGCATACAATCACAAACCCTCCCTCTTATATATATATATATATATATACTTGTTTTCAAACCAATGAGCAACATGGTTTATCATGCGAAACTTAAATTTTTATCCAGGCTTCCAAACCATTCCAACAATCCAGCTCACCAACCAAACCATGACGAACCAACCATTCATGATACTTTACACCCTTGTACAGTCATATACACAGTTAGAAAAATTATGCACCAACTATTAAGACTGGGTCGAATGCGAAGTATCGCCAGGCAATTTGATATTTTGATATTTAAGTTCGTAGTCAAAACTATTTTTAAAGGGAGTGGCCGGCAATGTTTGGTAGTTAAACTAAGATTGCAGTATTTTAAAGAATTTTTTTTAGGAATTATGCAAAACCTATCAGAAGTTTTACGGTCCATATTTGTTCAGCAAGAGCGCAAATTCGATATCTAAAATTCTCATTGATTGTCCATTTTGGAGGGATGATTTTGAGAATCGGTTTTATAAAAATTATTCAAAAAAGACGAAGAAAAATGTAACAAAATTTCTACAGTAAATGTTTAGGAACATATTTCTCGTTAGAAATTTGACAATAAATCCATTGTTTATTTATCATCAACATATTAATTTTCTTATTTTTTCTGAATTTATTCGCAGATTTCTTAAAATTTCTTAAATGCCGTCTTTTCATTAAAAATTCCAAGAAAATTTACAGTGGTTTTGAATATTGCAGAAACTTAAGATTACTTAAATTCGAAGAAAACAGTTTTTTTGTTACATTTTTCGTGGTTCATTGAATAATTTAAATGAAACCCATTTTCAAATCATCCCTCCAAAATGGACAATCTATGAGGATTTTAAAGATCTCACTTGTGCTCTTTCTGAACAAATATGCACCGTAAAAACGTTTGAATCCGAAGATTTTTTTAATAATTCTGCAATCTCAGTTCAACTACCATATATTGCCAGTCACTCCCTTTAAAACACATTCGCTTTCATACAGTTGAATAGTTATTTTGGTATTAATCAATAAAAATTATAAAAATTATATCTTAAAAACTTTCTGGAAATCTCTGTAAACCATATAATACCTGGCTGTTTCAAATTCAATTTCCCATGTCTATTAAATGTGCGCAATTAAAAAAAATAGTCAATCAATTTCAAGTTAGAAAACTTGGAATTTCGTCGAACAAAAACTTTTGCGAAAATTTTCGTTCGTATTTCGCAAACTGAATAAATCGAAAAAATGTGAAAACGATGCGCAACTTCGCGAAAAAAAATTCGTCCGAAATGTTGTAGCTGCAACATTTAATTCATCATAATTAATAATTTCTCTCCCTTTACTTAAATAAATGTTTGATGAAGAATTCGAAAACATCTCATGTTTTTTTTGCGAAATTTTTGCCTTTTTCGCGAGCAAACGAAATGCAAAAAATGCGATTTCGCGAAATGATTTCCCTATTTCGCTGAAACCCTAATAACAACTTTAAGTTTTAAAGGATAAAATTTTTTCGGACGTGCAGCTTTTTGAAATCAAGTATTTAGCCAATGCTCAACTGTCTTAGATCTAATTTTATTAATTTCCTTTCCATGTATATTGCTACTCCCTGTATAATCATTTCAATATGTACAATGTACATTGACATATCAGCTCGTATTTGTCAGTACAATAAGTATACGGTAATAGAATATGTTCTAATAAATCCTGTATTGAGACATGTCAGACATTACTAGATTATTCCTTTGCAGCATTTCTAACGATGTAAGACTAGGTGCAGACCTAATCAAAAATACACTGTATACATATAGTTGAAATCTCTCATTTTCATGATCCAACAAGTTCTAAAATACACTGTATACATATGGTTGAAATCTCTCATTTTCATGATCCAGCGAGTTTTAAAAAGCACAGTATATATAATAGATATGTTGTGTCTGTAGTAAATGCCCTACTACTAAAACTGCTTTCATACCCGTATCAATCCAGGTCAACTCAATAAGAAACTCTGGGTTCACACAAATACTGCAGCCAATGTCAATACAGATCAGTCTGTATTCTGCAGCCAATATCAATCCAAATATGGCTCAGTATGTATTCTCAGTTATCTGTCCTACAGATACAACTCAATCATGAACTCAAGATTCACCCAAATACTACAGCCAATATCAATTTGGATATGGCTTAGTCTGTATTCTCAGATATCTGTCCTACAGATACAACTTGATCAAGTTCACACAAATACTACAGTAAATATCAATCCGGATATGACTCAGTCTGTGTTCTCAAGTATCTGTCCTACACATACAATCAATTTTTCTCCCAATCTATATCTATCTTTCAAGAAAGCAATTTAGGATGCTTCTCCTTTGCTAACCAAGAAGAATTACTCTCTTGCAGTAATCAAAGCACAGTATTATTGCAAGTGATGTTTATTTTAATATCCATGTTATGGGTTAAGTTGATAAACGTAATTACAAATATTACGTCATTACATACAAGAGTTAGGTTAGGCTAATCACAATACAAAATGACTTAGTTATTTACAGACATAGCTAGGTTAGGTTAATCGCAATTTAAGTGATGTAATAATCTAGGTTCCGAGGTTTCTCTCAATACTTGTCTCTAACTCTAAATCTTCAGTCAATCCTGACTATATTTCTAGCCTACTCCGGCT